AAATGCCTTCATCTATACAAATACGTTCACAGTATATTCTGCGAGTGTCGAAAAAAAATGTAGTATACAAAAAATCATACGATCAAATTTATTATTTATCTACTGAGAAGTGTCAAATTGACATTAATATTAAATGAAATAAAATCACAGTGTATATATAACCTTTAATACACAGATAAAGACATCAAGATTTGACACCCACGAGTTTAAGGAATGTCATAGTCGCTATTACGCTGTCTGAAGGTTGAGTCTTAAACCAGGGACAGACTAGACAAATACTGTACGAATTCAACTTAAAACTTAAGTTAAATTACAATAAATAAATCCTGTATCGTTTTGAAGTCATAAATGTATTTATTTCGTTCAAAATATCATCCTATTTTAACAATAACTTCTTCATACATTTCTCTTCAAAGAATATTCTTTATTGTACCTACATTCTTCTTAATAGCGAGGTCCAAGGCCCGCAAAAGTTCATGGACTGCAGGTTCAAAGTCTAAGATACACAAAGATCGTCACAGCATCCCAGTGTAATCTCGGCATAAGAATGAGTCAGGACGCCTACATTACTCTGTTACAAATTTACCTTAATAGCTTCGTCGAGATACACTTAATTCCTTTTGATATACTTCATATTGCTGTAAAGGTAACTATAAATTTAATTTAACCTTAATTACTGTTGAACTCAAAGGTTAATTACGTTCAGGAATACGTTGGTTGGTGAATATTTTCATGTTTTAATGTACTATTAAATTATTTCTCTTATTATTTATTTTTAAATAAACTTAAATATTTCTACGCTTTCACGAGTATTCTACCACTAAACAAGATCACAGTAACAATATTGAATAAATATATTTTAAGATCAAATTAATTCCATCATTATATGTTTACGAATTATTGCCATTAGTTCAGAAGCACAAGAGTTCGGATTGTTAAATGATGTCAAAAGGCGAAGTTGCAACATAGTATGTAATTGGAACTAAGAAATCTAGATAAATGACAACCCTGTAATAGGCAGTTCTTTTTCATATAGAAGCCTCTGTTTGATCTACTCTGTACAAATTTCTGTCAGCTGTTATTGTCACCAAATCAAGACAAACAAAACATTCTTAGAATAATACTAATATGTATTTAGATCCAAGAAGTAATATAAAATTGATGAGTGTTAAAACAATTTAGTTGGTTAACTGGTATGTATATGAAGAGAAGAGGGAGGGAGAGAGATAGAAAGATAGAGCGAGAGAAAAAATACGTGATAATTCTCAAAACTTCGATTTTCTAAGAATACAAGGATATTTTGCTATTACATCAACACTTAACTAGTGATTGCGTCAACTGAGTAAATAATTTACACGAAATTTATTCATACTTCTTGCTTATGTCATTTTCCTTACGATTTAACGGATATGGACAAAATTTTGTATGTAGTTTTTTATATATTTTATTTAGTGTGTAATTCTTGAATTAAGTAAGTTTTATTTTGTACTAAGAGTACTATGGAATTGGAATCTTATAGTCCGGGCAAATAAAACCCAAAAATAACTTACCTAAATTTAAGCTAAAAATCAGTAAGATTGTTTAAAATATCATAAAAAAACAAAATTTGAAAGTTCCCCATCTTTGGCCTGTAACGAAAAATTATAATTATTCATGAACAAAGGGGAAAAATAGTTCCAAAGTAACTTTCAAATTATTCTTCTTAATCTTCTTGACCGGACTATTAGTACACTCAAGGCCGTTTTACCCATTAGGCATTATAGGCAACTGCCTAGGGGCCCTGCCACGTTCAGGGGCCCCTGTGCTACAGGGAAAAGAATGGGCAATGTTTCTTAAACAGTAAAAAATTAATTTGAAAATTTGCTCTGTACATTACATCGACGCTATTTTAGTACATTTCGGAACGAATTCCTTATTAGATATTATTATTATGATTATTATTATAGTTTAAAAGTTTATAACGCAGTAATATAATTGCAAGCAATTTTATCGCGGTAATTTAATTAAAAACGCTCAAAACTCTTTGTTGTGAATGCACACTTACTATACTGGTACCTACCAAGTATGTATATTCTATGGCCAAGCTACTTTCATAAGGTTGGCAGTACTGATTACTTGTACAAAATTTAAGGATCATTATTTCGAGGACATTGAGCCTGAGTTTATAGACGAAATGGTGCAGTATAAATACTTCATCTTACAATTAGATGACGCCGGACAAAAAAATATGTCAGCCGAGGAGTCTTACAAACTGAGTATTGGTAACATGGCACAGTCAACTTTCCCGAATGTAATGACAGCTTTGCAAATATATAGAAGTCTAATGATTACAAATGCCACTGGTGAACGAAACTTTTCCAAATTGAAATTAATTAAAAACTGTCTTCGTTCAACGACGTCTCAAAACCGTTTAAATTCATTGGATATAATGGCAATTGAAAATGACGTGTTGGAGAAGATTACCTTTCAGGATATCTTGAACGATTTTGTATCAAAAACAGTTAGAAGAGTTAATATTTAAGCTATGTATGTTTTTTTAAATGCATAAATAAACATTCTGTTCATTTGATTCAACATTTTTATTGAATAATATGATGATATACCTAGGTTAGTAAAAAACGGTGTAATTTTGAATTTTGTTGTGTTAACGAAAAAATTAGAAGAGGGTAGGGGGCCCTGGATGAGCATTGCCTAGGGGCCCCGACAGGCATAACCCGGCCCTGAGTACACTACTAGTCTAGTAGTACACTACTACTACACTACAGTGTATATGTCCTAATTGAGGAAGTATTAATAAATTTTTTATGCTAAATAAATATAAATGAAAAATTTTTCTAGATCTACAAATGTATAGATAACCAAACCACAGAAATATATTTTGTAATATGTACGTAACCAGCACTAACTTTCTATTGGGAGGGCAGATTTAGAATCGTCAAAATATTAATCAATTATATTAAAAAAATATAAATAAAAAGTAAAAAATCCTATAATTTAATAGAAAAAAAAAAACAAAATGAAAGTATTTAAACATTTTGTTAATTAAAACAAAAATTGCATTGTTTTTTCATTGTCATCATCTATCAGAGCCCACTGCTGAGCAAAGGCCTCTTTCTCACATGGAGAAGATTTGAGCATTAATCACCACGCTTGCTCAAGACGGGTTGGTGATATCAAATTTATAATTGTAAAATTATAAGTCCAGGTTTCCTCACGATGTTTTCCTTCACCGTCTGTCAGTGATGTCTAAATACTCTCAGAAAGTACATATGACTCGGAAAAATCACATTATTTTTTCATTTTCTGTAAAATCTTGTGATTTCCAAAAGAAAGTTTTAACACCGTTACATAAAAAGCAATGTTTTTGTTTATCTATTTAATGTAATGATTATATTGGTTGTAACCGATTGCAATAGGTGTTATCATTATATAAGTAGATTAAAAAAGAATGAATCGTTTCTGAGAATATATTTTTTTTTGCATATCGTGATCAAAGAAAATGATGTAGTCTTGAATTTCTTTAATATGTTTTGTGCTTGGAAAGTTATAATTAGTCTTCTTTGAAAATAATTATTATAAGAGACAAACTCCATCTCGTTTTCTCCTCAAAGTACTCAATATTACTATTCGTACAACAAATAAAAACGTTGACATTGGCAAAATATTCCACGATTCCAGTACGAATAAAGCCATAGCATAAAAATAAAGAAAATATTTTAAAAGAAGTTTATTTTTGTTACCTGTTTTAATTAGAAACAATAATATATTAAGGTAAAGGTAAAAATGTTAATTAATTCGAATATTCATGAAAATATATACCTAATATAAAAGGTCATTGACCGCTTGCTAATTTAATGTTCTTTATAGAAAGCATCTGATTCATACTTTTACGGCTAGATGAATAGATTTCTTTTAGTAACCAAAAGTCGAACGCTTTTGCACTTAGCGGAATATGAGGTCAACGAACTTAGCCCCAAAAACTTTTTCCTTAAATCAGCAACCTCGATGTAAAATGGTTGAAACGGTTTTTTGTTGACAATAGTGGTTATTTGTGGTAAAAATTTAATGTTATAAGTCATCAACATAAAATTTCCATTGTTTGTAATTTAGAAGCTTCTTTTTTTAAATATATTAAAATGTTATTATTATTTTTTTTCATTTATTGTAAAAATTTTGTAACGTACATCCAACAGATAAATAAGATGCAATTGTATGACTTAATTAATTCTCTATTGATATAATCGCTATCAAATTGGCCTATATACAACCTACACGAATTTCTGTTGCAGCAGGCCCGTTTATTTCTGTAAGTGACTCCCTGCATGAGATCACCGATTCTTATTATTGGCCAAATGTGGATGTACGGTCGCGAAGAAAAAAAGCCACGCATGTGCAATTGTCCCGTCGGCCATATTTATTTCTTTTACCAGAACCAAATGTAACTTTTATTTGTTTAAGACCTCATTGTCTATTGTTACTATCGAATTTAAGATTTAAAACACTCAACAAACTATTTTTATAAGGTCAAGGTAATTTTGATCGTTATAAATAATCTAAATTTAATGGTACAAATACGAAATTGTGAAATATAATTATAGCATGTGAGTCAAAAGCGATAATGTTAACGAATAACAAAGTAAATGACGTTACAAATACATTTAGATCACAGAATTTAATTAGCATTTCGAATTAATGATTGAAACGAAAAAAAATTATGAATTTATGAATATTAATTTAGGTATATTTTTTTATTTAAATATTAAATAATCATAAAGTTTTATACTTCATTTATTTATTCTTTATTTAAATGTACAAAGGAGGTTGTATATTATATGTATATTTTTAACCAGGTCCCAACTTCCGCCATTTTTGCGCCGCCAGAAACAAATCGATTATACCTTCGTTATACGTTCACTTTGTAGTTAACTACTACATAGATTTGACGTCACTGAATAAATTGTTTCTTAATAATATTATAACGTTTTAGATAAAGAAACAAAATGGCTGACCGAAATTTCGCTGACGTGAAGTTTACATTAAGTAACGGAGTCAAGATGCCCGCTGTTGGTTGTAAGTATTTATTTATAATAAATGGAATGGCTTCTCGTTTTGAAGTTGATTACTATATGATTCATGTTTACATTGAGATCAGAGGGAGGACATAAAAACTGACAACTTCAAGGTTATAAACCATTTGGTATTTTCAATAAAATTTACGTGTTCACGTACGTCCAATCTTAGTAAGCAATGATTTACTTGTATACTAGGTTTTACCCGCGATTTCGTCTGTGTTAGTTTCAGAATTAACCATGTATAGCTGACTGGACGGACTCTATTCCTTTTAAAGACATTAGATAATAAGATATTAGATTTGGTGAACAAATTTCTTCTTTTCAATAGGATGAAAAGTATCCTATGTCCTTTCCCTTGTTCTTACCCATCTCCACCAATTTACAGCCAAACCCGTACAGCCTCTCTTGAATTACAAATAGTGTAACTAACACGACTTTCATATATATATTTTCATCACAATTATATGAATCATTTTATCAGTAGGAACTTTTCGTATACGTGACCCAGCGGTAATCTACAGCGCTGTGGACAGCGCCCTGGCAGCCGGCTATCGTTTGTTTGGTAAGAAACATACATACATACAGGCACACACACACACACACATACACTCATACACATACATACGTAACATACATACACACACACAAACATATTTTATATACATATTTGTTACTCACGCTGAATCTGAACTAGTTATTATATGTATTTTTAAATAGTTTAAATTAACAGTTATATAAAAATTCTTAATTTAATTATCTCAAAAGAATTTGTGGCGATTTGATATAAATTAATTGTTAAAAGAATATGTTGGTATTTCTTAAGTTAATGGAAGCATGAATTAAGATTCTATATGAGGATTATAGGAATCTAGAATATGAGAATTTAGGTGAAACAAAGTTTTCCAGGTGTTTAAATATTTTCAGACACAGCAGCAGTTTACCAGAACGAACGTTTCTTGGGTGACGCGTTACGTGATCTATTACCTAAGTACGGTTTACAACGTAGCGATGTTTACATCACAACTAAATTGTGTAAGTTTTAACGTTATTAAAAAATCATTATTATGAATATTACGCAAATATTACAATCGTTTCAACATTACAGCGCCGTCCGACCAAAGCGCTGAACTAGTTCCGAAAGCATTCAACAAATCATTAGAAAACTTAGGTCTTGAATATATAGATCTGTATTTAATACATTTCCCTGGCGCTGCTAGAATAAATTCGAGCGATCCTAAGAATGAGGCATTAAGAAACGAGACCTGGGACGCTATCACGAAAATATATAAAACAGGCAAAGTAAAAGCAATTGGTGTATCGAATTTCACTGTACGACATTTAATGCAGTTACAAAAATCATCATCAATAGAGCCTATGGTTAATCAGGTGAGTTATATTGTATTTTTTGACGTTTTTTTTAAATTATTATTAATTAGCTTTCCGCTCGCAGCTTAACTCGCGTGGAGTTCGGTTATATCGCGTTTCCAAGAGAACTTTTCAAAAGTCTTTGATAAAAACTATCCTATGTTCTATATCAAGGTCTACTCTATATCTGTACCAAATTTCATTAAAATCAGTTAGATAGTTTAAGCGTGAAAGCGTAACAAACAGACAGAGTTACTTTCGCATTTATATATAGTAGGCATTAATATTCCCAACAGGTTGAATGGCATCCTCATTATTATGAAAGCGATCTCCTGGAGTACTGTAATACACATAATATAAGACTACAAGCTTACTGTTCGTTTGGTGGTCAAGCTATAAGAAATAATTCCCTAATGGAAGATTCTATAGTTAGGGATATTTCTGTCAAACATGATGCAACACCAGCGCAAGTACTATTAACATGGGCCCTACAACGAGGAATAGCAGTTATACCAAAATCGGTTACCCCACAGAGAATTAAAGAAAATATTCAGCTCAGTATAAGAATGTCTCAAGAAGAAATGTCTTTATTAGATTCCCTTAAAAATAAAGGCCTGAAATACGCTTGGGATCCCAATCCTATTGCTTGAAGATAGTTTATTTATTAATAAAGAAAAATATAACTATCACTGTTTCATTATTTATAACTATTAGTTTGTCAAAAGAATTCATCATTTTATTCTGAACTAAAATATTAGAAAACGACAAGTCACTTTCAGTGCTGTTTATGGCAACACTATTAATATTTTTATATAAGGGTTCATATAAATTGTGGTTGGAATGCGGTCGCTCGACCTTTATCGTTTAGTTGCTATGCACTATTACATATTTCTTATAACATATAAATACTTTTATTGTCATAATTTGTGCTATTTTTATTACAATTATTAGGTGTTACTGGCAACATTGGAGACTGACGTAATTTGCTGAAACTTAGTCCCCTAATTAAAACAAATCATTAAATGCTTTTTTCTTATAAAACGTCAAAATCGAATTGATCAATTTGACAGTCTAGACATTTGATAGTGTACTTGCAGTATATAAAAATTGTTCACAGATTATAGTAGAACAAAGAGACTGTTTTTTAATTTATTTTTTTGATATACCGGTCGTACTAATAGGTATAATGAGATGATATAACGTATCTGACTTGCTACAAGTTGGAACAAGTTTAATACTAGCCATTTTAAAAGGGGGCAAGAGTCCAAAGTGTTTTAATAAAAGATTTCGCTATCCTTTATACAGACCCCTAATGTGGGGTCCGTACCAAATTACGTATTAATAAATTCAATCCAGTTTCCATTCATATGTATTGAATGTTTTTTTAACATATTCTTTTCGTGGCAACTAGGTCGCAGATGTTAGATTGAGAAATTACAATAATACGATCGTGTGAACTTATATTCGATGTATAAAATCATGAGGTTACTTCTATGAATACATTTTATTGGAATGAGAGAAAAAAATATCAGAACGTGTGTCGCCGTGTACGCGTGATCACGAGTCTATTGTCACCGATCATGATTATTCATTGTTTGTGAGCGTGACTTAAAATGTCGTTAATGAAATATTAATCAGTTCTTAAATAATAGAATTAAGTTTAAATCACGATTTAATATTATAATGCTTCTCTTCATGTAACTTACGCGTGACCCGATGTATCATACTTGGATTAGGTTAACCGTTACCAAAGATTAGCCTTAAAAGCTTCACACATTCAGTTTAAACAGACATTATAGTAATGATTTCGCGACAAAGGATACCAAATAACTGCTTATTTGTTGTTCTGAGAACATCATATTTTCTTTATCATTCTGACTTGTAAATATGTTATTTTATTCGCTGTCAAATGTGACAGTTTAAATAAATTGACACATTTTCTACAGATATCATGTATGCATGGAAGAATTATGTTTTTAACATTATATATTTTAAAATAAAAAGTGTATTATAAAATTATATATTGGCCTAAAATTTTTCGCATTATTTCAGTTACTGTATACTATTTGTATTTAGTAAAAATTTTATGCTTAACAAATAGAAATTCTTATTATATTTATTTATATACATGATATGACAGTTCTATTCTTTGGAAATAAATATATATTTATCGATATACAAATCTATATTTAATCTATTGAAACAGTTTTAGACTGTACCGATAGAGCGGATGGTCCCATTCTGAGTAACGGTAAAATAGTCGAGTCAAATGCTATAACATCAGTGCAAAGATATGTATCCCAATCTTGAGGTTTCTGGAACGAAACAGGATATGGGGAGATATCTAAGACGTATCAAAAAAGTCGATGAGCCCATATTGAGTGTGTGTGAATCGTCCAATTGCAATATTCTCAGTACAGAGCCACTTGCGAAGACATCCACCGGTTAAGGCGAGGACAAGCATCTTAAGGAATGTCGCTGATATCTCGACTCGGGTTACAAGCGACGGGAATGATAACATACTGAGAGATAAACAGTTTTCTATTACATTAATATAATAATTAGTGCCTTCTCAACGGCATAATCTGTTAAAACAATCTAAAATTTCATGAATAAACTAAACAATTCACACTATCATATGTTTAAATTGAAATAATTTTATACACATTAGTAATTTTTTTTAGTTAAACGAATCTTCTATATACAGGGTGACTGGTGAATTACTATCGATATTTGAGGACGTGATATTTGACGATCATATATGACAAAATAAAAATTAATATAACATAAATATTAATAAACTTCTAAGTAAAGTTAACCAAAAGTTATGTAATTAATTACGCATCGTATGAACACCCTACAGATTAGGTATACATACACACTCACACAGACGCGGCGGCGGCGTAGTGTTGTATCAGCACGCCGCCGCACACGTCCACACTTGGAACACTTGGAACGTGTACACACTTTATTTATTTATACGGAAATTTGGTCAAAAATTAAGTACCTATTTTTTTTACATAATTCGAATGAGAATCATGTACCGAGTATGCTCCTTAAATATTGATAGTAATTCACCAGTCACCCTGTATATAAAAATGGATTGCTGTTCCTTAGTCTCGCTAAAACTCGAGAACAGCTGAACGGATTTGTCTTATCTTAGTCTCGAAATGTTTGTGGAGGTTCAGGGAAGGTATAAAAGGTGAGAAAAATTGGAATGATTGCCGGGAAAACCCTAAAACCAGCCCTTTTCTATTTCCCATACAAACGCTTTTTTTGACATTAGATTTGACAACTAACTAATATGTCAATCATTATGTTTGATTGAAACAGGAAAAACCTGATTATTTATGGCCTCTAAGACGGAATAGAGTTCGCCTGGTCAGCTATACATATATTACTAATGACGAAACTAACGCGGACGAAGTCGCGGGCAAAAACTAGTAATATAATAAGTATATAAGCTTCTAACTTAAGCCGCATCTAGAATGATCCGAGTCATCCTTGCAAACTACCTACATAAATTACATTAATGCCCATTTACATGAAGATACTGAAATTAATATTTAGTTTTATTTTATTATATAAATAAATATATCATCCATATAAATATTATGGTCAATAAATGAGAATAGACTGTATGATATTCGGCTATCATTGAATAGAAGTCATGTGATGTTGAAGATGCTATCTGTGAATTAGATGTTCCCGCCATCTAGGGGTCAATAGACAAAGACGCCGGTATTGCCATATACAGAAGTAGAACATTCTGAGCCAATATTAAAGTTGCTATGTTCAATTAATTCAGTATAGAGATGACGTCATCGTCTAGGGAAACAGATACAGTGTTGCCATTTAATAAAACCAATATTTGCTTTGATATTTAAGTGCTTAAAACGAAGAAATCTTAAGAAATTTTGATGATATCACCAAATGAAGTAGCAATTATTTGTTTTAACAACGTTTTAATATTTACAGGTATGGACTATGGTAGACGTAGAACAATATAGTATTGTAACATTATAAGTGCTAAATAGTAGCCGTTTAGAGCTACGTGCGTGCTAAAATGCGGCAAATCGATTCAAAACAAATTTAACGTGTACACAATCTTGCAATAACGAGTGCTTAGAATGCGAATACAAAACTTATTTACAACATACAGTTTTCGCAACTCACAATTTATAGCCGTCGAGCTTGATATTCGTTGAGTCACACTTTTGTTAATACATAAACTAAATACTACATTAAAGAAAAAAATACTAATGTCTAACGTCCTTAGAATAAGTCGTATTTTTATATGGAATTCTTTCTGAATTTTCTTGCACAGAGACACTTTAATATCTTCTTATATATAAAATTCTCGTGTCGCGGTGTTAGACAGAGAACTCCTCCGAAACGGCTGGACCGATTTTGATGAAATTTTATGAGTATATTAAGTAGGTCTGAGAATCGGCCAAAATCTATTTTTCATACTCCTAAGTCATAAGGGTTGATCACCCTTTTTTTTCGAACGAAATTTTTTGTTTTTATATTAATACATACAACCCAAAATTTTTACTTTTTTATCAATAACCACTATTTTTTTATACGGCAAAACAACATTTGCCAGGTTAACTAGTAAGTTTATAAGTTGTTCGTCATCACCCACAAAGTTTATTCATATAAATAATAAGAATTGAAGAGAACAATCTATTTTAAATAAGCGTACAAGTGATAAACACGTGCTGTAATCGAGTGCACACTCATTTAAGTATCCATCAGTGGGTAAAGTCGGTTATAAATATAAAAAGTAACTGCAACTTTTAAATCTCTGTCCGCCAAAGTACTTAAGACTCAACATGATCATTCCCTTCTCCTTTGATCTTAATAACAAACTTAGTCGTTGAGAAATTTCAAAATATTAAGTATCTAATTCGTAGCTTTACGTACTTTTATACATTATTTGGATTTGGCACTTTATATTTAATTTTTTTTAATTGTCGAAACTAATGGAGAGAAAGAAGTGTCCTACAAAAACATTATTCCTTGTCCCAACCATACGACTAGATATAAATAACAACAATTAAGTAAAACGTTACAGAATATGAGATTAAATTTTTATTTGAAAACTCGTTTTTTCATAAATAAAATTAAATAAAAACCGGTCGACATTTTTGGGACTTATTTTATTTGATCGCGTTTCGGTTAAGTTTTTTTATTTTTATTGACAATCAATACCAATCTACATTTATGTACAAGTAATACAGAAATATAGTGAATATAACCACAGTAATTTAACTAAACGAATGTTATCAATGCATTTGTTGTTGGGTTCATTGACACAAACGATAACCCGGCAAACTTTATACCCGCCCCTCCTGTAAACACTGCGTCATACAAGTCCTTGATCTACAAATAAATCATTTAATAGAATTTAAATAGTTACATTTCACGTAAACACAAAGCCATCACCTGTTTAGTATGCTGTGATATTCGCTTCCTTTAAAACCAGATGAAATGTCAATATCATCCTGCTAAATGTGGTCGTATTTTATGCTTTAAATGCTTTTGCATTTATGGTTCATTGACTTCTGTTTGATTAAATTACAGCGGACCAAGTGTATATGTGATAATCAAACTTCTGGAGTGTATCAACAAAATTTATATCCAA